GAGATTATACATAGCAGTAAGCTACCATTGATCTAAACTATCGTGCCCAACTAGCTAGTAGATTATAACACAATAGCAGTGAGCCACCACTGATCTAAACTATCGTGTCCAACTAGCTAGTAGATTGTAACACGATAGCAGTGAGTCACCATTGATATAAACTATCGTGTCCAACTAGCTAGTAGATTGTAACACGATAGTAGTGAGCCACCATTGATCTAAACTATCGTGTCCAACTAGCTAGTAGATTGTAACAGAGATAGCAGTGAGCCACCATTGATCTAAACTATCATGTCCAACTAGCTAGCAGATTGTAACACGATAGCAGTGATCCACCATTGATCTAAACTATCGTGTCCAACTAGCTAGCAGATTGTAACACAATAGCAGTGAGCCACCATTGATCTAAACTATCGTGTCCAACTAGCTAGTAGATTGTAACACGATAGCAGTGATCCACCATTGATCTAAACTATCGTGTCCTACTAGGTAGTAGATTGTTACATGATAGCTGTGAGCCACCATTGATCTAAACTATCATGTCCAACTAGCTAGTAAATTGTGACACGATAGCAGTGATCCATCATTGATCTAAACTATCGTGACCAACTAGCTAGTTTATTGTAACACGATAGCAGTGAGCCACCATTGATCTAAACTATCGTGTCCATTTAGCTAGCAGATTGTAACACAATAGCAGTGAGCCACCATTGATCTAAACTATTGTTACCAACTAGCTAGTAGATTGTAACATGATAGCAGTGAGCCACCATTGATCTAAACTATCGTGTCTAACTAGCTAGTAGATTGTAACACGATAGCAGTGAGCCACCATTGATTTAAACTATCATGTCCAACTAGCTAGTAGATTGTAACACGATAACAGTGAGCCACCTTTGATCTAAACTATCGTGTCCTACTAGCTAGTAGATTGTTACATGATAACAGTAAGCCACCATTGATCTAAACTATCGTGTCCAACTAGCTAGTAGATTGTAACACGATAGCAGCGAGCCACCATTAATCTAAGCTATCATGTCCAACTAGCTAGTAGATTGTAACATGATAGCAGTGAGCCACCATTGATCTAAACTATCGTGTCCAACTAGCTAGTAGATTGTAACACGATAAAAGTGAGCCACCATTGATCTAAACTATCGTGTCCTACTAGCTAGTAGATTGTTACATGATAGCAGTGAGCCACCATTGATCTAAACTATCGTGTCCTACTAGCTAGTAGATTGTTACATGATAGCAGTGAGCCACCATTGATCTAAACTATCATGTCCTACTAGCTAGTAGATTGTTACATGATAGCAGTGAGCCACCATTGATTTAAACTATCATGTCCAACTAGCTAGTAGATTGTAACACGATAACAGTGAGCCACCTTTGATCTAAACTATCGTGTCCTACTAGCTAGTAGATTGTTACATGATAACAGTAAGCCACCATTGATCTAAACTATCGTGTCCTACTAGCTAGTAGATTGTAACACGATAAAAGTGAGCCACCATTGATCTAAACTATCGTGTCCTACTAGCTAGTAGATTGTTACATGATAGCAGTGAGCCACCATTGATCTAAACTATCGTGTCCTACTAGCTAGTAGATTGTAACACGATAAAAGTGAGCCACCATTGATCTAAACTATCGTGTCCTACTAGCTAGTAGATTGTTACATGATAGCAGTGAGCCACCATTGATCTAAACTATCATGTCTAACTAGCTAGTAGATTGTTACATGATAGCAGTGAGCCACCATTGATCTTAACTATCATGTCCTACTAGCTAGTAGATTGTTACATGATAGCAGTGAGCCACCATTGATCTAAACTATCATGTCTAACTAGCTAGTAGATTGTTACATGATAGCAGTCAGCCACCATTGATCTAAACTATTGTGTCCAACTAGCTAGTAGATTGTAACACGATAGCAGTCAGCCACCATTGATCTTAACTATCATGTCCTACTAGCTAGTAGATTGTTACATGATAGCAGTGAGCCACCATTGATCTAAACTATCATGTCTAACTAGCTAGTAGATTGTTACATGATAGCAGTGAGCCACCATTGATCTAAACTATCATGTCTAACTAGCTAGTAGATTGTTACATGATAGCAGTCAGCCACCATTGATCTAAACTATCGTGTCCTACTAGCTAGTAAATTGTAATACGATAACAGTGAGCCACCATTGATCCAAACTACTATTTTCTAACCAGATGGACAGTATATTTCTGAACTATGATTCTTACCTGAAGAACATGTAAAAGGCGAAAGTTCCCAATCCACCAAGATATGGAGTAAACATGATGTGAAGCCGGTAAAAAAACACAAACGTAAAAAAAAGATCCTGAAATATAAAACAACTCATATCAAATCTCAATCCATAAAGGGACTGTAAAGAGGTTTTCTAATTATTTTTATGTGTATCCAGGACCAGTGTAGTTCTACTCATTAAGCGTTTGATGACGTCACTAATCACAAAAGCTGCCGATATAAAATAAGGTATTTCATGATTAGTTACTTAGCTTTAGTAGAATTGCAGGAACCACAGATGTCTGATTGAAAATTAGAATGGTGCTAATTGATGCTATCTGTGTCCCTGATACACATACAAAATGTTAGAAAACCTCTTTACAATCTCTTTAACAAGAACCACAGATGTCTGATTGAAAATTAGAATGATGTAAATTGATGCTATCGGTGTCCCTGATACACATAAAAAATGTCAGAAAACCTCTTTAGTGATATCTAGAACACTAATACACAATGTAATTTCTAGTTTGAGATATACTTAAAGGAATTATGTGATTTTTGTACATTTCTAGTACTTCTGAAGACTATTTACATATATTCCAGACTACAATCAACTCCACAAAATGGTAAACTATGACCTATATATTAAAGAGATTGTAAAGAGGTTTTCTAAATATTCTATGTGTATCAGGGAAACTAATTTGCACCAATCACATATCTGTGGTTCCTGCAATTCCAATAAATTAAGCGCTTTATGACGTCACTAATCAAGAAGTCCTTTTGTGATATAGCATACTAAGTTTTTTGAGAAAAAGGTTATTATTAGTATCAGAATATTAATTCATAACTTACCAACCAATCTTTTCGTTTCACCATGAAATAAACATTTTCAAAATGAAAATACAGTGGAAGAAGTAGAGGAGGTCCAACTGAAAATAAAATATATAAAATTAAATAACCATATTATAGTCATTGTGTTCTGATAATAATCATCATCAGGTATAATATTTGTAATATAGAAGCAGGAAGGTAAACTTTAAAACATCCAGATATATAGATATACTATGTGTTTCGAAATGACGTATGTAATAAACCTAGAAGTAGTATATCTATATAACTTGTGTTTTTAACGTTACCTGTATGTGTTTCTAAACGTAGTATGTAATAAACCTAGAAGTAGTATATCTATATATCTTGTGTTTTTAACGTTACCTGTATGTGTTTCTAAACGTAGTATGTAATAAACCTAGAAGTAGTATATCTATATAACTTGTGTTTTTAACGTTACCTGTATGTGTTTCTAAACGTAGTATGTAATAAACCTAGAAGTAGTATATCTATATATCTTGTGTTTTTAATGTTACCTGTATGTGTTTCTAAACATAGTACGTAATAAACCTAGAAGTAGTATATCTATATATCTTGTGTTCTTAACGTTACCTGTATGTGTTTCTAAACGTAGTATGTAATTAACCTAGAAGTAGTATATCTATATATCTTGTGTTATTAATGTTACCTGTATGTGTTTCTAAACGTAGTATGTAATTAACCTAGAAGTAGTATATCTATATATCTTGTGTTTTTAATATTACCTGTATGTGTTTCTAAACGTAGTATGTAATAAACCTAGAAGTAGTATATCTATATATCTTGTGTTCTTAATGTTACCTGTATGTGTTTCTAAATGTAGTATGTAATTAACCTAGAAGTAGTATATCTATATATCTTGTGTTCTTAATGTTACCTGTATGTGTTTCTAAACATAGTATGTAATTAACCTAGAAGTAGTATATCTATATATCTTGTGTTTTTAATGTTACCTGTATGTGTTTCTAAACGTAGTATGTAATTAACCTAGAAGTAGTATATCTATATATCTTGTGTTTTTAATGTTACCTGTATGTGTTTCGAAATGACGTATGTAATAAACCTAGAAGTAGTATATCTATATAACTTGTGTTTTTAATATTACCTGTATGTGTTTCGAAATGACGTATGTAATAAACCTAGAAGTAGTATATCTATATATCTTGTGTTTTTAATATTACCTGTATGTGTTTCGAAATGACGTATGTAATAAACCTAGAAGTAGTATATCTATATAACTTGTGTTTTTAACGTTACCTGTATGTGTTTTGAAACGTAGTATGTAATTAACCTAGAAGTAGAATATCTATATATCTTGTGTTTTTAATATTACCTGTATGTGTTTCTAAACGTAGTATGTAATAAACCTAGAAGTAGTATATCTATATAACTTGTGTTTTTCGTCATTAGGTAGTTATAAAGAGAATGGTTGATACATGCCAGTCTATTAAAACTAGAATTCACTGAAGTGAAATCGTTTCATATAAAAAACTTACTCAAAAAGAAATAGTGATGTTGTAGTTGGTAGGGCATTTTACCACGTTTCTTCTCACCCCATTCTACTGGCATTTTATCTCCCATTAAAAATAAATACGCTAACTGAACATCAGGATCTTTTTTGATCACGTTAGGTTTTGCGTGGTGTTGAAAATGACGGAAATTCCACCAATGAGAAGAGGCTCCCTGTAACAGAAAAAAAACTGTGAAATAATAGTTCTTAAATGCGAAATATCACCCAAATATAGATTCTTAAAGAGACAGATTCACCATCCAACAGATCGACTGTTAGACTAATCGTAATTTAGTCTCAGAAATGGAAATTTTTTAGATTCACCATCCAACAGACCGACCGTTAGACTTAGAAATGGAAATTTTTTAGCTAAGCTAATCAATGATAGTGTTCTGTTCACAGGTCACAGTTGATATATGAACCTCAGACTCAGAGTGTGAAAGAATAACCCTACCTTCATAATACTAATAGTAAAATAGTGAGCCCAATGATTGACTCTTCGACTTTTAAATACTGACAGATGACCATAATCATGCTGGGTCCAGCCCCATTGAGCCTGTAATAAATAACAAAATACAAATTATATTATAACTTGGTCCAGCCCCATTGAGCCTATAATACATAACAAAATACAAATTATATTATAACTTGGTCCAGCCCCATTGAGCCTATAATACATACCAATACAAAATAATAATAACAATAATCTAGTTATATTGTGCTTGGGTCTTATTCTCCTATTCTCTAAACCTTAACTTGAATAAAATCCAGATTTTAAGAAATACAGTAATCTGATTGGATAATAAAACTGAATTTAAAATCATTTTTAGTGATTGACAAATCAGATGACTGGAAAATCATCTTAAGTTAAGTTTTCAAGAATAATGTCCCTGATTATTCCAAAAGTGTATATAATATAAGTAGCACATGACACTCACAGATAATAATATCATTGGTCCAGTCTGGACAATTGTGTTTATAAATAAATACCAAGATAATATTATTCATATAAAATACATTAAAGTCTAATGAGTTATTATAACTCCCAAACAATCTTATAAACTAACAACATGGCATTGAAGAAAGACAAACTGGCGGATCATCAACATCATTTCGGGGTATTTTCGAAGGGAAAAAAAACCTCAAAATTTAATTCACTGTGTATAGTGCCCACCCCTTCTGTAAGGGGCCCATTTTGGGGTAAAAAAACTGCGGAAATATTCGGAAATATACAACAATATTAACAACAATACTGTGCATGTAATTTCAACAGTAAGGTTGTTTTATAGCACACATACAGTATATAACACAACTCAGTTCAGTCTAATATAATAACAATCTTCCTTCTATATTACAATCTAAAATTTCTTTTGATTTGTTTGTTGCTATCAGAAATGCTATCTTGTCTAATTAGGAGACTAGCCAGAAACCACTTAGACTTTCCATAGACATCTGATTTTATTGTCATTCTTCTGATCTATGAAATTTTTTGAATGAGAGTACATGCCTTCTTCAAAGCATTCTATAAATAAATCAAATACTAAAAATCCCAACCGCAAAACAAAACCCACAATCCAAACAACTTATTGACAAAATAATAATCAATCATAAGTGAGTAAGTATTTCATAATGAAAAGTGATATCAGGTGTCTAGAAGAGTAAGCATACCATGCCTGATGGTAAAACCGCTCATATAAGGAAGTATATCAATCATAAATGAGTAAGTATTTCATAATGAAAGGTTGTATCAGGTGTCTAGAAGAGTAAGTATACCCTGTCTGGCACCACACCCGTCATAGCTGCTTAGTGTTTAAAATCATGAGGCTGATCCATGAATTTACTTCCATTATAAAAAGAAGTCATCTAATATGATATTGGACCATCTCTTTAAATACTAGAATATGATTAAAAAATAAATATTGAAAGGTAGACCTGTCATTGTAAAAATTATAATGAAATAATTTCTAGGACATGTGTAATACAATACATTGTGTAGATAATAATATAGTGTATAATTAATGGAGCAGAATAATCACCACAGACAATGAAATCTATAACCTAGACAAGAACAATGTGGGCAACCTCATTCAACCCTCTCAATTCGACTTTCTCTACATTCAAACTGCTAGCAATAGACACAATCTAAATTATAATTTGGTTTCGCTATTATTTTTGGTCCGTTGTCAGTACATGACCTTGGTATAATGATAAAGGTTACATCAACACAAAAACTTAATAACGAAACAGAATAGAACCAATCTCAACAAAACTAGATCACAATTATAACTTTGTTTTTATTTTGCCGATATCTTTCTTCTCCATTGTAATCTAACAAATTTTCTATCTAGTTCAGTTTTAATATTCTATCATTTTTAGCCAATTAAAGCGTGTCTTGTAGGACTCGTTTCTAATAACAAGGATGAATGTGGTATAGCGAAACCCACAATAGAGCAATATAACAGCCTCTGCTAATTTTGATTTCCCACAATTAATCTTCGATATCAAGAAATGGGTCTTACAGGTCAGAAAATACAAGCTCTGTGTAAATAAATAACTAATTAAAATTAAAGAGATCATAAAGAGGTTTTCTTAATTTCTTACGTGTATCGGGGAGACTGATAGCACCAATTTACACCATTCCAATTTTCAATCAGACGTCTATGGTTCCTGCAATTCCACTTAACTAAGTATTTGATGATGTCACTAATTGTGAAGTCCTTATGTGATACAGCATATATTGCGATTAAGGACTGCATCAAACACTTAGTTTTAGTAGAATTTCAAGAACCTCAGATGGAAAATTGGAATGGTGCAAACTGATGCTATCAGTATCCCAATACACATTAAATATTAATCATTTAAATCAAATTACCTGAGCAGTACACATTAATAAAGCAGATAGTAGAAAGGTCTTCCAGTTAACACCATAAGACCAGAACATCCAGACAGCTAAAGCTTCCATTAAGAAAATACTAATAATCTGTGCAAGGTAAAACACTGGATTAGTTTTAAACATTCCCATCTTTTCTAGCTTCTGTCGTAATGATCTATAATCTTTCTCTAATTCACTCTAAAAATATAAATTATCATATTGAGTATTTAATAAACTGGTCTATAATCAATGTTCAGTCAACTTGTCTACAAACTGAGTTATTATTCCAGGTTTCATTTTATTTCTTGTACAGAGGCTTCCAAACTTTTTATTGTAGGTCTACTGGAGAGAGCATTAGCTTTGCACTAATTCAATTTTAAGTCACACATCTGTGGTTCTTGCTTAATCTAAACCATTTATGAAACCACTACCGGTACTGGTATTGCAAAGGCCTTTGAATTCTAAAACCAGTTTTAATATTGCTTAGCTTTAGTGGAATTGCAGGATCCAAAGAAATCTCACTGAAAATTGGAATTTTATAAATCAATACTATCAGTGTCCCTGATACACTTAAAAATGTTAGAAAACCTCTTTACAATCCCTATTTTTGTGGCCTAAATCTGCTATTTTAGTCATCTGGTATTTACCTCGTTCAGGTTCTTCACTTCTCCAATTAATAAAGGTTTCAGGTATTTCTGAACCAGATCTTTATCATCATGGAATGCCACCCAAGCATCCTGAAATTATACAAGACAGAGCTGATTAACAATAATTAAATACCTTTATAGAGGGGTTAATAATATAGCCATGCAAACCAATGAGCATCAAATGATGCAGATGATCCTGCCTGAAAGGTTTAGTTGAAAATACAAAAAAAAATGTCAACTCAACCTACGTCTAAAATACAAGCTTGATTTATCTCTTCCCAAATTAAAGCCAGACATTTTTCAAAATAAAAAATTATTAAGTATAAAAAAAACTTCATTTTGAATCAATTTCAAATACTACATTATAGTCTTATTTCTGGAACTGGTTGTATCAAATGACTATATAACACTTCCTAGTTCCTTAACTTGTGAGAAGGTGCCCCAAAATGTTTATCTGTGTCAGACTGCCCTTTAGGTCTTTCTATTAGTCTTTAAAGCTGCATACTTAAATATAAAAACTTGATAAATACCGTTGCATCTTGACCAGAATAGTGACTGATTATTTTGGCACCGCCTGGATGTTTCTTGGCGAAATGAGTTATGTTGTAAACCTTCCCTCCTATTTGAATCCATTTGTCGTCTGCTTTATTGTGTTCCAAAATCTCTTCCTCAGTAAAATATCCGTAGCCTCCCTTGTTCGTTGTCAATCCACCATTCTCACCTCTATCCATTGCTGTTGTCTACAAAAACCAATTCAGTTCCCTTTTTTTAATTGTTCTTCTAGAACTCGCACAACCATCAACATTCACAAAACATCTTACACAACCTAACGGGACTTCTATCAGAACTCTCCGGAAGTTAATTCTCGAGTGTCCAGTCATTTTGTACATTAGTCAGAAGAATAGATAAAAGTCTGGTAAATGGAGACTCAATTTTCAATGAAATAAAGGTCAAGGTTGTCTGATTTATTTGTTTACATTTCCATGACAACTTAAATGTACCGGTACACACTTGTTTAAGTTGTTATAAAACAATATAGGCCCGAACGTATTGACTTGAACTGGGAAAAAAAACATTCTTGCTCTGTGGACTCATCATAGAAGGGCGGCCGTCATATTGCCAGTAGGCAATTTTCCCAATATAGGGGGAAGGCCCCGCAATCTCGTGCACATCGTGAAAATTATCCCCTCTGCTTCTGGTGGCCTCTGGTGGCCTCTGGCAGCCCGAAGCCTGTCCCCGAGGCTCAAGGCAGTGGCGGCGCCCCTACTTCAGCGGCTATAGAGAGGGTTATCTTAACCCACGTATATATTATTTAGCCAATTTAGTGCATTCTAGGCTACTGACACATATAATAGGCCTATTTTGGGGTAAAATTGTCTGAAAATGATTTTTTCAAATGAATAAAATAAATAGGGGGTGCAAACCTCTTTTGTCAGGGAGATTCAGATGAAACAATCCACTCTAGTTCTCTTTTGAATCACGTCACTGATTCAGATGAAACAATCCATTCTAGTTCTCTATTGGGTCACGTCCCTGATTCAGATGAAACAATCCACTCTAGTTCTCTGTTGGGTCACGTCACTGATTCAGATGAAACAATCCACTCTAGTTCTCTATTGAGTCACGTCACTGATTCAGATGAAACAATCCATTCTAGTTCTCTATTGGGTCACGTCCCTGATTCAGATGAAACAATCCACTCTAGTTCTCTATTGGGTCACGTCACTGATTCAGATGAAACAATCCACTCTAGTTCTCTGTTGAGTCACGTCACTGATTCAGATGAAACAATCCACTCTAGTTCTCTATTGGGTCACGTCACTGATTCAGATGAAACAATCCACTCTAGTTCTCTATTGAGTCACGTCACTGATTCAGATGAAACAATCCGCTCTAGTTCTCTTTTGGGTCACGTCACTGATTCAGATGAAACAATCCACTCTAGTTCTCTATTGGGTCACGTCACTGATTCAGATGAAACAATCCACTCTAGTTCTCTATTGAGTCACGTCACTGATTCAGATGAAACAATCCACTCTAGTTCTCTATTGGGCCACGTCCCTGATTCAGATGAAACAATCCACTCTAGTTCTATATTGGGTCACGTCCCTGATTCAGATGAAACAATCCACTCTAGTTCTATATTGGGTCACGTCACTGATTCAGATGAAACAATCCACTCTAGTTCTCTATTGGGTCACGTCCCTGATTCAGATGAAACAATCCATTCTAGTTCTCTATTGGGTCACGTCCCTGATTCAGATGAAACAATCCATTCTAGTTCTCTATTGGGTCACGTCCCTGATTCAGATGAAACAATCCACTCTAGTTCTCTATTGAGTCACGTCACTGATTCAGATGAAACAATCCATTCTAGTTCTCTATTGGGTCACGTCACTGATTCAGATGAAACAATCCACTCTAGTTCTCTATTGAGTCACGTCACTGATTCAGATGAAACAATCCATTCCAAATCTCTATTGAGTCACGTCACTGATTCAGATGAAACAATCCACTCTAGTTCTCTATTGAGTCACGTCACTGATTCAGATGAAACAATCCGCTCTAGTTCTCTATTGGGCCACGTCACTGATTCAGATGAAACAATCCACTCCAGTTCTCTATTGGGTCACGTCACTGATTCAGATGAAACAATCCACTCTAGTTCTCTTTTGGGTCACGTCACTGATTCAGATGAAACAATCCACTCCAGTTCTCTATTGGGTCACGTCACTGATTCAGATGAAACAATCCACTCTAGTTCTCTATTGAGCCATGTCACTGATTCAGATGAAACAATCCACTCTAGACTAGTTGTCTATTGGGCCGCTGGGTTTTATAGTTTTTAGAGGCTTGATGGATTAGTTTATGGTGAAGTTTTTTGATATTTGTTAGAAAGAAAGAAATGGTTTTGATTAATTGTAATGTTTATTTCAGTAAATAAGGCCTCCAGCCATAGTATAAATTTCACAATATAAAGCAATAACTTTAAATATGTAGAATATGTTATATACAAAACGTTATGTACAATAATTATAATAATAAATATTCAAAACTAAGGATAACTCTTTCTGACTATATAGGATTTATACAAAAACGATGCTAAATTATTCGTACAAGTTTGGTTAGACATAACATATTTAAAGACATTTACCCTAGATTCTTCCCCTGCTTAAATACACTTTGACATCAGGAAGTAATTCATTACCGTACTATGTTAAAAGTATGGTCAGTTTTTTACATGTATTATTAGTCATGGTCTCCTAGTGTGCCCCCTTTTTCATGACCCAAAAATTGAGTTCTAGGAATCTGTTACTTCATTTTTAGGTAAAGGCCAGTCTAAGGTTTTAAGAACAATTGAAAGCGATCTTTAGTTTAATGCAGGCCTCCTCAATTCCTGTGTCATCTTGCATACTTGACGAATTTCAGCTCTGTATTCTCACGTTTACCGGGTTGCAAGTAAATTATGGCTGTCTCCAGTCTGCACCGATCGTTATTTCCTATAGGATAAGTAGCATCCTACGCCCATTGTTGATATTTTGTATTACCAAATTCTACTGTAAATATTCATTATAATTTATTTATGTACTTGTATTATGAATCTTCAATGTGGAGGAAATAAAGATATATATATATAAATTAATGAGTGGATTTCGTCTTCAATCGCTATAACTTGCTGATTTTTACAATATACACATATTCTTACAAAAAACACAAGGGGTACATTATGGTTTTACCAACTTCTTTAATACCAAAGTTATACCATAATATACCCCTTGTGTTTTTTTATTATATCAACTCTCCACTTTCTAAATGTCGTTCAAATCTTACACATATTCTGCCATTCTTATCTTTATTTTGCCACGTACCAGTTTCAATTGCAAGGTCATGGTTTGAACATCTTATATTATATTACTTATATTTCTGACTACCTTAAGAGATAACTCTAATTCTAGATTAGTCTTAATTAACCTATAATTTTCTAACTTTGGGCTATCATGTATGATATCTGACCATTCCTGAGAACAAAAGAAATAATCATTCCCGAAGTTTTGATTAATAAGAACTAAGAAAATGATAGTCCTTAGGGTGAGGTCCGTGGGGCGGAGCCCCAAAAAGTGAGAATTAAGCCAAAGCAAAACCTCCTCAGTTCATCAGAGATTGATTCATTTACAGTATCTTTGAACAAAATCATAAGGATATAGATTTTGATAGGTTTTTGTCAGAAATGAGTTCTCTGGGCCTTGAATTCTTCACATTTTCTGAGTACAAAATCTGACCCCCAGCACTAATTAATTCCTGAATGAACTGATAGTGGGTACTGCATTGTCACTCCGTACCCACTCTGACGCCTCTGACGCCAAAACTGTTCCTGTGGCGATTCAACAAGTCTTTGAAGTCATTTTAAATTTTCATGAAGGGGTGGGGGGGGGGGGGGGGGGGCATTAGATGATGATAGGAACATAGTTTCACAAACTGTCTACGACGAGAATATATCGTACAAGCTGCACGTTGACAATGAGGGACTGGATGATAGATGCTATATGTATTCAGAATAGACTCATTCTGACGACCTACATTATATCGCCAATCTACGGTGGCTCAAACTTGAAATATTATATCCTCTTTGAAACTTAATTTAAATACTCAAACTTTGTATTGAAAATTTGGATTTTCACCTGTTTTTTTTTTTATAAAATTTGAATAAAATAGAAAAGAACAATATTAATAAATAAAATATAATAACTGAATACAGAAACTAAATATAAAGTTTAAGGCGCGTGTGAGCCACCGTAGAAATAAATTTTCTCCGTAAATGCAATGTTTTTGCATCAATGTATAAATTACATCCGGGGTGAGTTATAATACTCAGCGAATTATCACACATTGTAGTGAAAATCAAGACGCACAGGTAAGACTTTAATTCGTTAAATAGTCTAAATAAATAAATAAATAAATAGTAAAGTAAAGTAAAGTAAAGTAAAGTAAAGTAAAGTAAAGTAAAGTAAAGTAAAGTAAAGTAAAGTAAAGTAAAGTAAAGTAAAGTAAAGTGGTTATACCACAGGGACTGGTTTGACTAAGTACACTCCATCTTCCTCTCTGGCCCCAGAACAAAATGCTTTGTCGATTTTACGAAAAGAACTAAGCTATTGTATAAACTTTCAAGAAGGTTTTACAGGGAATATCCTTCCAGTTCTTAAATCTTTATATTATCAAGTAAAATCCTGTGTTAACCTCGATTTCTTTGTTGTCAGTATATACGCTCCAGTCAAATAAAGGATCACCATAACGTCATTACTTGTCTCTAACACTGGGTTGTAACACTGTTTTTTGTAGCTAGTGGAATAGCTCAGTCGAGTTGGATTGTCGTCTGCGATAAAGTGCCGTAGATTCGAATCCTCCTCAATGTAAGAAAAATTCTTATGCCTATGCCTGTTTTTCCGAAAGTCGGCCCGGTGTCTCCTCATAATACCCATGTAATGCAAATGTTTGTAGTCGGTGAGTATCCAGTGTCTCGCAGTTGCAACGTTGACTGATCTCGCTGAAGGCCATGTAATGCAAATGTTTGTAGTTGGTGACTATCCAATGTCTCGCAGTTGCAAGGTTGAATGATCTCGCTGAAGGCTCTATAGTAACATGAAACGCAAAGCTTGAATAGAGTCATCCATTTCAAGGTTGAAATATTTTCCATATAAAAATGAACAGGGAAGTTTTATATTACTTTGACTAATACGAATCGAAACTGTCACGTCCGGTAGCCAAACACAAATACAGTGAAAGTGTGCCAACAATAAATATATAAAAAGGGTTTCAACTAGCTAGCACATTGTAACACGATAGCAGTGAGCCACCATTGATCTAAACTATCATGACCAACTAGCTAGAAGAATGTAATACGATAACAGTGAGCACTCATTGATCTAAACTATCGTGTCCTACTAGCTAGTAGATTGTAACACGATAGCAGTGATCCATCATTGATCTAAACTATCGTGTCCTACTAGCTAGAAGAATTTAATACGATAACAGTGAGCCATCATTGATCTAAACTATCGTGTCTAACTAGCTAGTAGATTGTGCCACGATAGCAGTGAGCCACCATTGATCTAAACTATCATGTTCAACTAGCTAGTAGATTGTGACAAGATAGCAGTGAGCCAACATTGACCTAAACTATCGTGTTCAACTAGCTAGTAGATTGTGACAAGATAGCGGTGAGCCACCATTGATATAAACTATCGTGTCCTACTAGCTAGAAGAATGTAATACGATAACAGTGAGCCATCATTGATCTAAACTATCGTGTCTAACTAGCTAGTAGATTGTGACAAGATAGCGGTGAGCCACCATTGATATAAACTATCGTGTCCTACTAGCTAGAAGAATGTAATACGATAGCAGTGAGCCACCATTGATCTAAACTATCGTGTCTAACTAGCTAGTAGATTGTGCCACGATAGCAGTGAGCCACCATTGATCTAAACTATCATGTTCAACTAGCTAGTAGATTGTGACAAGATAGCAGTGAGCCAACATTGACCTAAACTATCGTGTTCAACTAGCTAGTAGATTGTGACAAGATAGCGGTGAGCCACCATTGATATAAACTATCGTGTCCTACTAGCTAGAAGAATGTAATACGATAACAGTGAGCCATCATTGATCTAAACTATCGTGTCTAACTAGCTAGTAGATTGTGACAAGATAGCGGTGAGCCACCATTGATATAAACTATCGTGTCCTACTAGCTAGAAGAATGTAATACGATAGCAGTGAGCCACCATTGATCTAAACTATCGTGTCTAACTAGCTAGTAGATTGTGACACGATAGCAGTGAGCCACCATTGATCTAAACTATCATGTCCAACTAGCTAGTAGATTGTAACACGATAGCAGTAGGTTACCATTGATCTAAACTATCATGTTCAACTAGCTAGTAGATTGTGACAAGATAGCAGTGAGCCAACATTGATCTAAACTATCATGTTCAACCAGCTAGTAGATTGTAACAAGTTAGTTGTGAGCCACCATTGATCTAAACTATCGTGTCCAACTAGCTAGTAGATTGTAACACGATAGAAGTAGGCCATCATTAATCTAAACTATCCTGTTCACCTAGCTAGTAGATTGTAACACGATAGCAGTAGGCCACCATAGATCTAAACTATCATGTCCAACTAGCTAGTAGACTGTGTCACGATAGCAGTGAGCTACCATTGATCTAAACTATCATGTCGAACTAGCTAGTAGATTGTAACACGATATCAGTAGGCTACCATTGATCTAAACTATCATGTCCAACTAGCTAGTAGATTGTAACACGATAGCAGTGAGCCACCATTGATCTAAACTATCGTGTCCAACTAGCTAGTAGATTGTAGCACGATAGCAGTGAGCCACCATTGATCTTAACTATCATGACCAACTAGCTAGTAGATTGTAACACGATAGCAGTGAGCCACCATTGATCTAAACTATCGTGTCCATTTAGCTAGTAGATTGTAACACGATAGCAGTGAGCCACCATTGATCTAAACTATCATGTCCAACTAGCTAGTAGATTGTAACACGATAGCAGTGAGCCACCATTGATCTAAACTATCATGTCCAACTAGCTAGTAGATTGTAACACGATAGCAGTGAGCCACCATTGATCTTAACTATCATGACCAACTAGCTAGTAGATTGTAACACGAAAGCAGTGAGCCACCATTGATCTAAACTATCATGACCAACTAGCTAGTAGATTGTAACACGATAGCAGTGAGCCACCATTGATCTTAACTATCATGTCCAACTAGCTAGTAGATTGTAACACGATAGCAGTGAGCCACCATTGATCTAAACCATCATGTCCAACTAGCTAGTAGATTGTAACATGATAGCAGTGAGCCACCATTGATCTAAACTATCATGACCAACTAGCTAGTAGATTGTAACACGATAGCAGTGAGCCACCATTGATCTAAACTATCATGTCCAACAAGCTAGTAGATTGTAACACGATAGCAGTGAGCCACCATTGATCTAAACTATCATGTCCGACTAGCTAGTAGATTGTAACACGATAGTAGTGAGCCACCATTGATCTTAACTATCATGTCCAACTAGCTAGCAACTAGCTAGTAGATTGTAACACGATAGTAGTGATCCGTCACTGATCTTAACTATCGTGTCCAACTAGCTAGCAGATTGTAACACGATAGTAGTGATCCGTCACTGATCTAAACTATCATGTCCAACTAGCTAGTAGATTGTAACATGATAGCAGTGATCCACCACTGATCTAAACTATCATGTCCTACTAGGTAGTAGATTGTTACATGATAGCTGTGAGCCACCATTGATCTAAACTATCGTGTCCAACTAGCTAGCAGATTGTAACACGATAGCAGTGAGCCACCATTGATCTAAACTATCATGTTCAACTAGCTAGAAGATTGTAACACGATAGCAGTGAGCCACCATTGATCTAAACTATCATGTTCAACTAGCTAGTAGATTGTAACACGATAGCAGTGAGCCATCATTGATCTAAACTATCGTGTCCAACTAGCTAGTAGATTGTGACACGGTAGCAGTGATCCACCATTGATGTTAACTATCGTGTCCAACTAGCTAATAGATTGTGACATGATAGCAGTGAGCCACCATTGATCTTAACTATCATGTCCAACTAGCTAGTAGATTGTAACACGATAGCAGTGAGCCACCATTGATCTTAACTATCATGTCCAACGAGCTAGCAGATTGTAACAAGATATCAGTGAGCCACCATTGATCTAATTTATCGTGTTCAACTAGCTAGCAGATTGTAACAAGATATCAGTGAGCCACCATTGATCTAAACTATCATGACCAACTAGCTAGCAGATTGTAACACGATAGTAGTGATGCACCATTGATCTAAACTATCATGTCGAACTAGCTAGTAGATTGTAACATGATAGCAGTGAGCCACCATTGATCTAAACTATCATGTCGAACTAGCTAGAAGATTGTAACACGATAGTAGTGATCCACCATTGATCTAAACTATCATGTCCAACTAGCTAGTAGATTGTAACATGATAGCAGTGATCCACCATTGATCTAAACTATCATGTCGAACTAGCTCGTAGATTGTAACACGATAGCAGTGAGCCACCATTGATCTAAACTATCGTGTGCAACTAGCTAGCAGATTGTAACACAATAGCGGTGAGCCACCATTGATCTAAACTATCGTGTCCTACTAGCTAGCAGATTGTAACATGATAGCAGGGAGCCATCATTGATCTAAACTATCTGTCCTGCTAGCTAGTAGATTGTGACACGATAGCAGTGAGCCACCATTGATCTAAACTAAGATGTCTAACACCATGTGAGATTGCAGACCTGTTTCAAAATTCAAAAACACCTGCCAGTTTTAAAACTATTTAATAAATGATTTTAACACTTTATATTTCAGAATGAACTGGTATTTAGTCAGAATTCTATTTCTGCTGACCAGCGTGATGTGCTGTTCGGCTGCTATCTGCGAAAAACAAGAAAAAACTTGTGAATTTTGGTTGGAAATTGATATGGCTTTAACAATGATGTATGAGAAGAACGCTGTCTATCCTGCTGACGGACAACTCTATTACTGGAATGATAGCATAAAGGTAACGCCTATAGATCCTGATAGTGTCATCACTACCGACGGCTGGGAGACACCACGTCTTGTAATCGTAGCCAATGGTACTATGCCAGGACCGTCCATTGAAGTATACGAAGGTCAAGAGGGTGATTGTCCACGTGACAAACAAACTTTCCAGTGAATCCAGTGAAACTTCAATACATTGGCACGGTCTCTACCAAAAAGACACTCCTTGGATGGACGGTGTGGGGTATATAAGTCACTGCCCGATAGGCCCAGGACAGACATTTACCTACAAGTTTATGGCCCGGCCCACCGGATCATTTATTTACCATTCCCACATAGGAGTCCAGCGTACCATGGGCCTTTATGGACCACTGGTTGTAAGGAAAAATCTTACTAAAGAACCTTATGAGGAATTCTTTGCGATCGTATCGGATTGGAACCACGAGTGGGATTCGAGCGTAAGTTACTTGAAGATGATAAATGGAATTTTTACTAATCGGGTCCCCTACCAAACAACATCATCTATTGACGGCGCTGAGTTCAGCAGATTTAGATTCGATTCTGGTTTGATTAATGGTAAAGGACGGGTTTTGGTAGATAATTTAAAAGGAAATGGGGCACCATTGGAAATATTTACTGTATCTCGAGGAAATCAATACAGATTTCGGTGGGCGAACGCAGGCAATATTTACCCGTTCCGAGTTGAAATTGATCAACACAATATAACGATTGTGAGTTCTGATGGACATGATTTAACACCTGTTACTGGTAATGCCTTTATAGTGAATCCTGGTGAGAGATTCGATTTCCTCCTCTCAGCAAATCAACCAACTATTGCCACACCCCTTATGATTACAAATCTTTTTTTGCCAAAATGTGAACATTATTTTTATTTTTTTCCTTTCAGCTATAGTTAGTAATCGCCTGTTCTCGATTTTGCTGCCATTTTTCGTACTAAGATTTTGTATCTAACATTTATTTTTTTCTATATACATTATCCAGTATTTTATTTTTTAGTTCGATATGTTCGCCTCATGATTCTTGTTTAGAGATGATTATGCGACTTATGCTTGTTTTTTTATTTCGAACTTTCTATTTCCCATATGTTCGCTTATAATACACGTATTTCTACCGTGTTTTACTTTAGTATGTAAACCTCGTGGTTATCAAACCGACCAATCAATGTGTGTCTACAAACAGTTTGTTTTGTGCTTATGAACACAGGCGCAAGCTAATATTGTATAAACATTAGCAACTTCTCTCTATTGTTTATTAGAGTCTAACTGATGTTATTGTTTATTAGAGACCAACTGATGTTATTGTATTAGAGTCTAACTGATGTTATTGTTTATTAGAGACTAACTGATGTTATTGTTTATTACTAACTGATGTTATTGTTTAATAGAGACTAACTGATGTTATTGTTTAATAGAGTCTAACTGATGTTATTGTTTATTAGAGTCTAACTGTTGTTATTGTTTATTAGAGTCTAACTGATGTTATTGTTTATTAAAGACTAACTGATGTTATTGTTTATTAGAGACTAACTGATGTTATTGTTTAATAGAGTCTAACTGATGTTATTGTTTAATAGAGACTAACTGATGTTATTGTTTATTAAAGACTAACTGATGTTATTGTTTGTTAGAGTCTAACTGTTGTTATAGTTTATTAGAGTCTAACCGATGTTATTGTTTATTAGAGTCTAACTGATGTTATTGTTTAATAGAGTCTAACTGATGTTATTGTTTATGAGAGACTAACTGATGTTATTGTTTATTAAAGACTAACTGATGTTATTGTTTATTAAAGACTAACTGATGTTATTGTTTAATAGAGACTAACGGATGTTACTGTTTATTAGAGTCTAACTGATGTTATTGTTTATTAGAGTCTAACTGATGTTATTGTTTATTAAAGACTAACTGATGTTATTGTTTATTAAAGACTAACTGATGTTATTGTTTATTAGAGACTAACTGATGTTATTGTTTATTAAAGACTAACTGATGTTATTGTTTATTAAAGACTAACTGATGTTATTGTTTATTAAAGACTAACTGATGTTATTGTTTATTAGAGACTAACTGATGTTATTGTTTATTAGAGTCTAACTGATGTTATTGTTTATTAAAGACTAACGTTATTGTTTATTAGAGACTAACTGATGTTATTGTTTATTAGAGACTAACTGATGTAACTGATGTTTTATGGAGATGTACTATCAATTTTAGAACGATAAAACATACAATATAGATCATAATTTACATTTTACACCATTTCACGAGTTTTCTTATCACTAGTATATACTTTTATTTTTTTAGGTTTGTTCGAATACATTGCTTATGATGACTGTACACAGTCACAATACAAAACAAATTTAATGTCGACATTTCGTCACAATTTACAATGACAGACACAATATCAAGACAGGGTATATTGACTCACGTTAGTTTCTTTATACGCAGCTGTATGTCGATATAGGAGTCGAAAATTCTCTGCGAAAATCTGAATCCCTAGTTCAAAAATGTCGACTGCCTACAGTTTCATTTTCAGATGATGGACTCCAGGCTAAGTTTTATGAATTATCTGCAACTCTTACCTCTCCCCTCCCCCACCCCGGGATCGCTGCACTTGTTCACAGGAAATTCTTTCACCATGTAAAATGATATAGTTTGAATGTGGGTGAAAACAAGACCAGTCTCGTTTTCTTCACCTGCCCCCCCTCCCACCCCCCTCCACCACGGTGTAAATGGTGTTAAGATAAGGACCAGCTGGTAGACAGGATATTCGTGAGCCTAAGTGGTTATATCTGTACAAAATTGTTATTACTTCGATTTCAGGAATATCTCTGAGACCAAGTCAACATGATGAAGATCAAGATAAAGTGACTTATGTTCCCTTCACTTTGTTTCCAACCCAAGTTTCCCACCACCTTCTTCAACATGCCAGGCTATCTATGATCTATTTTAACAGGTTGATGCACAGAGTTTCTATGGATCATCAGTTTCTCCAGGAAGCCTTTAAAAAGTAAGTATTATCTTGTATCCTTGCATACGAAATTACAGGACCGTAAATAACGTAAAGGCAGAAAATACAGCTGTATGCCCAATATCTGAATTACTGCCGGCCCAGGCGGCCCTTATCCCGATAACATTCGGATTTTCATTTTAATCAGACTGAAAACAAACTCGGGAAGTAAAATGGACGAGCCACATGAAATTCATTTTTCCTAAAGGGAGGTAACTCCATTTTAAAAACACGCTTTATTGGTAGTCTGTAGTAATATAGTTTTATTTATTGTTGTAGTGTAATCCAAGTTGATAATTTTACCAGGAACCTATGGAATATTTATTTGGCTGTTAAAGACGACCCACAAACGCAGGTGAATAGATATTAAATTATAAATTGACGGGTCGGATGCATCAGTCAGACTTTTGTCCGCTTCCCGGAATATCAAGGGTTCAATCTCATAGGTCGAGATATTATCAAAGTACATGTATTTTTCAACTCGATTTATCTCTGTCGGTCCAATCGCAGCCACTGGCGTTGAATTAGTGTTTAGTTTTTATTGGCAATAAACAGTGGCCCTGTGTTCTACAGACTCTGAGCTAAAGCCATATTTATATTATTAATGTATGGCCGAATTCTTTTTTACGTTTTTGTCTTTTGGACATTTTCCCCCCTTTATTTTTCAGTCGATTTATCTGGGTTCGTTCAGAAATGATTTTATGTTCAACTGGAAGAGGAAAATAACCAGAGTTTGAAACAGGAGGAATTTAATACCATTTCAGTCGCATCGTGTGGATTAACTTCAGAATTATCTGGCCTATATAGGTATGTTTCTGTATTTAAAATTAAGTCGAAGCTATCTCAGAATACAATCCTGGATATACTCCCACTTTTATGAATTTGACCAACAATTCGAACACTTTATTGTATATAATTAAAAGTTTTAACCAATGATAAATTGTTGGCACCATCTTGGAGGTGTATCTGTTGCACATTTTCAAATTAAACAGTCAAATTTAAACAAAAGAAATCAAATTTAATCAGGAACAATCACTTACAATATTAAAAAAAAGCTAAAACTACTTGTGTCGTATTTTGCATCTTTCGCATCTTGGAGTTACCTCCCTTTACCCACAATACTCATTAATTCAGATATACAACAAAATGACCATGCATGTACAGTCTGGATAAACAAAAACAAAAAAGGACTTTTTGACCTTTCTTGATCGGTCACTCATTGGAATTCTGCTGGTAATGCAAATTTAGCTAATTATGAATTAATTATAGACATGTGAGACAAACTGGTATTTTTCCAAGTCATTAGAACACCTCTACTTTCTATTTATATAAGTAGTAGCATTATCATTTTTATTAATGAAAATAAGGGAACCCATCTTTAATTAGATATATTTTCAAAAAATACCAAGAACATGATGTATAATTATTCATACTTTAACCTATGCTCCAGGAGGCTTGGCTCAAGAACCTTATTTACAATTCTTGTTTGTTGCCCACTATGCCTTTAATGTTATCAACCACATTTTGCATTTCCAATGTTCTCCAGAGCCTGGATACTTAATACTGGATAATACAGTCTTCTTACTAATGTGTTGTTTTTATAGGTATCTATTAACATGTGCTGATGTGCCTTTTAAAAACGAACAGGTCAGTTCCCTTTCAATCTGTAAATGCAATCTTATATATTGACATATTATATAAACATATAGAAACAGTATGTAAGTTAATTGTCTGAACCTATTGGATTTATTGACATGTACAATTTTACTGATAATCATTCCATAATCTTTACCTTCCTCCAGGTTCCAGAGAAAGACATCGCGAAAGGACAGGTCGCTGGCTTTGTAAAGGCCTGGGAACTTTATGGAAATCCCAAGTAAGTTTAGCAAACTGTCAGTTTAACTCACACATAGTTTGTATGATCAAGTCCCTTCTTTGGCCTCAGAAAACTGTCATTGTACGATAGTTTGGTATGCTCTAGTCCGAATCTGATTACAGAAAACTCTCTTTGTATCAAGCAATCTACTATCTAGATGGACACGATCTTTTAGTATGGTCTTGTTTCCAGCAGTAAAAGTCAACACCACAGGAATCACTAGAGAGGCTGTGTGTGTAAATAGTAGCGTTTGGTAAAGCTTCCCAGCCAAGTTCACGATTTTGATTCCAAGGGTGTCCAATTGAAATACAAACTTGTAGCAAGAGCAAAGTGGATATTTCGAACCGAAGACTTCAACAAAGTCGTACTGTAGCCTACAAGTGAAGGCATTGATGTATTGTCTTTTTGACCAGTTGAACCCCAACCCATCTGACCTTTCCTGCCACACCATTGAAAAAATATTTTGCTTTTTATATTCAGGGCCATTATCGTATTTGTGGTTCTTCATAATGAACGCTACGCCATGGACCAACGCTTGATGGAATTTGAAATTTATAAACAGAATCCTAACATCCGAGTAGTGAGAAAAACGTTTAATGATTTAATTCGGTATGGGAAATTGACCAAAAACAGAAAGTATCTTGTGTGAGTAATACTTTGTACTTTGTTTTTTCTTAATTGCCGACTGATCCTTTGATTTTCTGATGAAAGCATATTTGAGGGTGTAAAATTGAAAATGATTGTCTGTGAATGGCGCTAGCCTTCAACTTAAGAAGGTAACTCCAGCAACCGACGACAAATCAACTTTACGGGAAGCTAGGAACAAGAAGCAATGGAGATAGATTTCAACCTAAAGACATCATTAAAGGGACAAGTCATCTAAATATTTACTTTACCAACTGATAGAACTCAATTTCAGCTATCTGTATAGTCATCTAAATATTTACTATACCAGCTGATAGAACTCAATTTCAGCTATCTGTATAGTCATCTAAATATTTACTTTACCAGCTGATAGAGCTCAATTTCAGCTATCTATATAGTCATCTAAATATTTACTTTACCAACTGATAGAACTCAACTTCAGCTATCTGTATAGTCATCTAAATATTTATTTTACCAGCTGATAGAACTCAATGTCAGCTATCTGTATAGTCATCTTAATATTAACTTTACCAGCTGATAGAGCTCAATTTCAGCTATCTATATAGTCATCTAAATATTTATTTTACCAGCTGATAGAACTCAATTTCAGCTGTCTGTATAGTCATCTAAATAGTTATTTCACCAGCTGATAGAACTCAATTTCAGCTATCTGTATAGTCATCTAAATATTTGTTTTACCAGCTGATAGAACTCAATTTCAGCTATCTGTATAGTCATCTAAATAGTTACTTTACCAGCTGATAGAACTCAATTTCAGCTATCTGTATAGTCATCTAAATATTTACTTTACCAACTGATAGAGCTCAATTTCGGCTATCTGTATAGTCATCTTAATATTTACTTTACCATCTGATAGAACTCAATTTCAGCTATCTGTATAGTCATCTTAATATTAACTTTACCAGCTGATAGAGCTCAATTTCAGCTATCTATATAGTCATCTAAATATTTATTTTACCAGCTGATAGAACTCAATTTCAGCTGTATGTATAGTCAACTAAATAGTTATTTTACCAGCTGATAGAACTCAATTTCAGCTATCTGTATAGTCATCTAAATATTTGTTTTACCAGCTGATAGAACTCAATTTCAGCTATCTGTATAGTCATCTTAATATTTACTTTACCAGCTGATAGAGCTCAATTTCAGCTATCTGTATAGTCATCTAAATATTTACTTTACCAACTGATAGAGCTCAATTTCAGCTATCTGTATAGTCATCTTAATATTTACTTTACCATCTGATAGAACTCAATTTCAGCTATCTGTATAGTCATCTCAATATTTACTATACCAGCTGATAGAGCTCTATTTCAGTTATCTATATCAGTATTTAGAATGAACTTCCTACTATATCTAAACAATTTCATCCACCTGTATAGTCATAATTATGTAACACACTGTTTCCACTATTGTAAAACTTAATAATTTCTTTTTGAAGTGAAACAGAGGAAGTGGCTGTGGTTTATTACAGAGCTGGCTATAATCCTACAGAATTTACAACTGATCAGGTACTTTGTTTCAACTTCTACTCATGTCTGGCTTTGAATGCGTTGTTGTGTACCAAAAAACCAGCTAAATGATTTAATCGGGACTAAGTTCGTATAATCTCAATACTTAAAACTTATTGATAATAGTCTGTGATATCAGTTGACTGGAAGCAGACGTTAGCTTGTCTTCTACTAACAACTACCTAGTCTGTGATATCAGTTGACTGGAAGCAGACGTTAGCTTGTCTTCTACTAACAACTACCTAGTCTGTGATATCAGTTGACTGGAAGCAGACGTTAGCTTGTCTTCTACTAACAACTACCTAGTCTGTGATATCAGTTGACTGGAAGCAGACGTTAGCTTGTCTTCTACTAACAACTACCTAGTCTGTGATATCAGTTGACTGGAAGCGAACGTTAACTTGTCATCTACCAACAACTACCTAGTCTGTGATATCAGTTGACTGGAAGTGGACGTTAACTTGTCATCTACCAACAACTACCTAGTCTGTGATATCAGTTAGCTTGAAGCAGACGTTAACTTATCATCTACCAACAACTACCTAGTCTGTGATATCAGTTAGCTGGAAGCGGACGTTAACTTGTCATCTACCAATAACTACCTAGTCTGTGATATCAGTTAGCTGGAAGCAGATGTTAACTCGTCATCTACCAACAACTACCTAGCCTGTGATATCAGCATAAGGTGGAAACGAACGTTAACTTGTCATCTACCAACAACTACCTAGTCTGTGATATCAGCATACGCTGGAAGCGGATGTTAACTTGTCATCTATTAACAACTACCTAGTCTGTGATAGCAGCATCTGCTGTAAGTGGACGTTAACCTGTCATCAACCAACAACTATCTGTGATATCGCGTAGCTGGAAGCGAATATTGACTCATCTGCCACCAAACTTTAACCATTGGTTTTTTGAACATATTTCAGATCTGGAAAGTGCGACTAGAAATTGAGCAAGGTAGATGTATAAAATGTCCACCGATTCATTATCAACTCGCAGGAACCAAGAAAATACAACAACTATTATCAGAGCCACGAGTTTTAAACAGATTTATTGAAGATACTGACGTTATAGATTTGATACAGTCTACCGGGCAATATAACTTAGATTTAGTAAGTATTAATGAACCAATCTACATCATCACAATGTCAAGCTTTAACGAACTTCATCTTATACCTTGACTGCACTAGTTACTATTCTTGTATCACAGAATTCAGCGATTTGATTGTTCGTCAGCGAATACAGCCAATCATAGCCCTCGGCAGACAGACTGTAAACATCATGGTTTATTATTAACAGACTTTCTATCGAGGCCAGTAGTGGACAGTGGCGATTCTACGTGGGGAGTGGGGGAGGGGGGGCAGGATATACCAAGTTTGCTCCCCCCCCCCCTTCGGAAAAGAGGCTGGCCCGGATTTGGCCTCCCCACTCTCAGATATTTTACCATTTTGCATAGCGAAAAAATGGCCTGTTGTCCCTAATATTGCCTAGAAACGCCAATGCTGGTAGACTGTTTCCGATAGCGTACAATCAAATCAAATAAATAGCTACATTTACCAGGTCCAAGTTGTTGTAACAATTGTTGGTTTTAATTTGTCAGGTAGAAGAAGGTGACAGAGCTATTAAAATGGCGATCAAAAACCCAGACCAGTTTGTGTTGAAACCACAGAGAGAGGGAGGAGGTACGAAACCTTGTATTTCCTGATTCATTTTCATCGAAAAATATTTTGTATCTGATTACATTACAGGTATGAATGTATCGTTTTAATTAATACCTGTTGCTGCTCTTGCCTTCCATTCTCTATTGAGATTCTTCTTTTAACCATGTTCAGTCGCTCTTTTTCCCAAGAGATTTGGCGAATCGAGTTTTTTAAACAATCGTACCTTCAGAAACGGGAATGTTTTAGCTAAGCCAATCAGTAATCTTGTTCACAGCTCAACATCGCAATTGGAGCCTTCAAATTCATGTGTGTCTAGAATTATCTGCGTTTGAATGTTGAAATGACGACTCGTCAATTGAAGATACTCTGTAGAAAAGACGTATATAGAAATAGTGAGTAAAATTCCAAGTTTGAAGTATTTTAAAGGAATTATGTTATTTTCGTACATTTCTAGTATTTCTGAAGACTATTTACATATATTCAACACTATTTCAAAAATATTTTGATAACAGATAAATGATTGGTTGAAAAGTGATAAACCAGAACAGGAGGTGCATAACAATTTTTCAGATCATGGATGGCAAGTGTAGTCAACCGCAGAAATAATACGAAACAAAACGTAAGGATCTACATTTGATCTGAATGAAAGTTAATAATTTTTGTATTGAAGCTATTTCAATCGTTGAAATTACTATTTTTTATTTTAGTTTTCTTGTATTCAGCGTAGTCCTTATTGAAATATCGGACAACGTTAAATATATAAAATACGTAAATATTCTTCAGAAGTATTAGAAATGTACAAAAATCGCATGATTCCTTCAACAATACCTGAAACTAGTAATTTACGTTTCTATACATGTCTTAATATATATGTCTTTTCTATATATGTCTTTTCTATATAGGTCTTTTCTATATATGTCTTTTTTATATATTTCTTTTCTATATATGTCTTTTCTATATATGTCTTATCTATATATGTCTTTTCTATATATGTCTTATCTATATATGTCTTTTCTATATAGGTCTTTTCTATATATGTCTTTTTTATATATTTCTTTTCTATATATGTCTTTTCTATATAAGTCTTTTCTATATATGTCTTTTCTATATATGTCTTTTCTATGTCTTTTCTATATATGACATAAGAAGGGTCTTAAAAAAAGACGACTTTCTTATCTTTGAAACGCGGATAATTCTGGGCACACATGAATGATGAATGTCCCTTTAGGTAACTTATGTCTTGAATATAGTTTTTATTTACTGCTTTTCTGTCTGTCTGTAAATCCTGTTTTCTGTTTTAATTATCTTCTCCAGGGAATAATTTGTATGGAAACAAAATGAAAGAATTTCTGGAAAGTATCCAAGACTCGGAGGAACGCTGTGCTTATATTTTGATGGATTTAATCAAGCCAGTAAAAAGTTAGAATTATTTAGTAAAACCTAACAATGTATTAAAACCTGTAGAATGTGTAGCAGAGCTGGGAGTATACGGCTGTTTTATAGGGTAAGGCTATAATTTTGTATACGACTGTTTTATAAGATAAGGCTATAATTTTGTATACGGTTGTTTTATAGGGTAAGTCTATAATTGTGTATACGGTTGTTTTATAGGATAAGACTATAATTGTGTATACGGTTGTTTTATAGGGTAAGTCTATAATTGTGTATACGGCTGTTTTATAGGATAAGGCTATAATTGTGTATATGGTTGTTTTATAGGGTAAGGCTATAATTTTGTATACGACTGTCTTATAGGGTAAGGCTATAATTTTGTATACTGCTGTTTTATAGGGTAAGTCTATAATTGTGTATACTGTTGTTTTATAGGATAAGACTATAATTGTGTATACGGTTGTTTTATAGGATAAGGCTATAATTGTGTATATGGTTGTTTTATAGGATAATGCTATAATTTTGTATACGGCTGTTTTATAGGGTAAGGCTATAATTTTGTATATGACTGTTTTATAGGATAAGGCTATAATTGTGTATACGGTTGTTTTATAGGATAATGCTATAATTGTGTATACGGTTGTTTTATAGGATAAGACTATAATTGTGTATACGGTTGTTTTATAGGATAAGGCTATAATTGTGTATATGATTGTTTTATAGGATAAGGCTATAATTGTGTATACGGTTGTTTTATAGGATAAGGCTATAATTGTGTATATGGTTGTTTTATAGGATAAGACTATAATTGTGTATACGGTTGTTTTATAGGATAAGACTATAATTGTGTATACGGTTGTTTTATAGGATAAGGCTATAATTGTGTATATGGTTGTTTTATAGGATAAGACTATAATTGTGTATACGGTTGTTTTATAGGATAAGGCTATAATTGTGTATATGGTTGTTTTATAGGATAAGGCTATAATTGTGTATACTGTTGTTTTATAGGATAAGGCTATAATTGTGTATACGGTTGTTTTATAGGGTAAGGCTATAATTTTGTATACGGTTGTTTTATAGGATAAGGCTATAATTGTGTATACGACTGTTTTATAGGGTAAGGCTATAATTTTGTATACGACTGTTTTATAGGATAAGGCTATAATTTTGTATACGACTGTTTTATAAGATAAGGCTATAATTGTGTATACTGTTGTTTTATAGGGTAAGGCTATAATTGTGTATACGGTTGTTTTATAGGGTAAGGCTATAATTTTGTATACGGCTGTTTTATAGGATAAGGCTATAATTGTATATACGACTGTTTTATAGGATAAGGCTATAATTGTGTATATGGTTGTTTTATAGGATAAGGCTATAATTGTGTATACTGTTGTTTTATAGGATAAGACTATAATTTTGTATACGACTGTTTTATAGGATAAGACTATAATTGTGTATACTGTTGTTTTATAGAATAAGGCTATAATTGTGTATACGACTGTTTTATAGAATAAGGCTATAATTTTGTATACGGTTGTTTTATAGGATAAGGCTATAATTGTGTATACGACTGTTTTATAGGGTAAGGCTAGAATTTTGTATACGGCTGTTTTATAGGGTAAGGCTATAATTTTGTATACGGTTGTTTTATAGGGTAAGGCTATAATTTTGTATACGACTGTTTTATAGGATAAGGCTATAATTTTGTATACGGTTGTTTTGTAGGATAAGGCTATAATTTTGTATACGGTTGTTTTATAGGATAATGCTATAATTGTGTATACGACTGTTTTATAGGTTAAGGCTATAATTGTGTATACTGTTGTTTTATAGGATAAGACTATAATTGTGTATACGACTGTTTTATAGGATAAGGCTATACTTCTTTATCCATTTTTATTCATGGAAAATGCATAACATCATATAATTTCTATGAATTTCTGTTGGTGAATTTATTATAAGGCATTAAAGAGGGTTTCTCGCCTTTATTATGTGTATCATGGACACTTCTAACTTCTATTTGGGACAGTCAAATGTTACGTCCGATGCCTGTAGTTCCTGCAATTCCAGAAAGAGTTAACCGGAAAGGATTCGTATAGATGATTCGTACCACTGGCACCAGAACACAATAACATAATATGTTACAAAATTGCGGCATATCTAACTTAAAATTGTCAACTCATCACATTTTGCTTCAGCGTTGCCTAATATAACTCTCCACTGCGTCAAAGTTTGCTTAGTTTTAATATACCTGGGACTATGTGTGATACCAGACAATATTTCAATGACACCAAAAAGGTTAATTAAGTGGGTACCAACCCGTGCTCACTCATTCTTCGAAATGGATAACGTGGTATTACCAGTTAGACAATTTTATCAGGATGGAATGTTAGAATTGGGCTAACACCACATACACTTTCAAACAAATTTGCTATTGTCATTGTGAAAATTACCCAATACATGCGGTCTAAAATGGATCGGAACGATTCTCATAAATTGTGACATTATCTATCTGGTCCTAAGCGTGATGATCCATCTGAGGAAAGGATTGGACCAGATTTGTCGGGCTTATTGAAATATTGACCTCCATCTTTATTCGGGCTATCCACTTATCTATCAAGGAAAAAAATTATTGATCTCTCCAGACCACAATATTACATTACGTCAATAGCTTTGTGTTATCCTCTATTCCAGCCAGAAGAACGGAGAGATCTATAACACAGAAACTGGGTTTGTCATGAAAAGCAAACTGTCTGATTGTGATGAAGGAGGGATTAGCGCTGGATTTGGTGGATTGGATTATCCTTTCCTATTTGATATCTGACAAACTTTCATCATATGTGTAGTGTCGTTATTATACTGTTAATAAACCAGGAGCATTCATCTTGAAAATCGAACTTAAAGGGATTGTAAAGAGGTTTTTATTAAAATTTTATGTGTATATAATGGATTCACTCTTTTATATCATATATCCACACAGCAACTTTGTTAAATTGTAAAATAGTTATGGCATTCTATATTTAGTTTTAACCAAGTCAAGGATAATAAAAAAAACACCAATCAGGGAAAACGCGATCTCGCCAATTTCAAGGATCAAAGATCTGATCAATTTCAAGGATCTCTACACGACTCTACAGTAAACACATTTTGAAATGCTTTAACGAAGTGCAGGTCAATAACTAATAAACCATTCACCGAAATATCGTCAAATTCCAACTTGACCAAGATCTCATCAATATAACTGATCACAGATAATTTCATCAAAATCAGACTGTAGTCTCTTCTGTGCTTACAATAAAATGTTGATGAACAAGGGCCACGACAAAATATATCCACATTTCGGTAAAGAAGTTCGAGTTTGTCGTAACAGTGACCATTGTTGTGATTCATTATGAAAAAAGTCTCCTATTAACCACAAATGGCAGTCAGCGCCAACTGATAAAGTTTGGCTTAAAGATCGACTTAGTAATTCAATATTGTATTGTTTACATGTCTATGTATGGAGTGACGTCATAATCCTGTATATCCATGTAATGAAACATCAATTTTAGCGAAAAAATGATGTCAAAATAAAGCTAATTATTAAATAATAACAAAAGTACACATACAAACAAGATGTAAAGACAACTAGCTCGTATGGACCAGGCTTTAGAAATTTGTTGATGAAATAATTAACGATCAGACGAGTTTTTGGATTGGCAGTTTTCAAAGTAAAATTTGTTCAGTAGGAGGCTGAGAATTTATTATAAAATCTACATCAAATCTAGCTTTCGACAGTGTTTGCACAAGTAACAAGTCCGGTGATATATTAACAACTATGAATAACCTATATATGTTCCGTATTGGTATTAGCCGTAACAACACTGATTCTTATTGATGCCGGTAAATATTGATTTTCTATTTTATGGTGGTATGTATTTATTTGATGTTTTCTGATTTGAATACGAACTTTTTCCTAATCAGCCTTTTAACTGTATTTGAGAAGACGTTCTGGTTTGTTTGAGACCCTAGTTGTTCTGCAGCCCCGGTAATTAATACCACACTTACTAACAGGAACTAATCGTCAGTTTTATAGTGATATTTCACACGTAGCCCACGAAACCGATCTCTGACACAATATATACATCAAATTTCTCAAAATGGCAAACTTTAATAAAAAATATTATCAGGTATGGTATCATATTCGATACAAACTGTACTTGTGCAGCATCTCTTGTGATATATAAAAATTGTTTAAAGGGCTAGACCGGTTTTTTATGGTCTTGATCGTGAAATACATCATTCTTCATGCCAACACGTAGAGGAAGATGCCCCTTACCTTTCGTAAAAATTCCAAGCGTTGTCACAATCGATAAAATAATTCTTAAACGGTTACGTAAGAATTTTAAATCTCGCGGCCTCTTTTTTTACTGTTCTGGAAAATAGCGATTATGTGAACTCAATTTTGATTGGATCAATTGAACCAATCAGCGTTAACTACACATTTCTGACCGAAGGACGCGATAGAAAATAAAAATAGCGATCAACCATTCACGAGAAAACACCGGCCTCGTATCAATTATAATAAGAAACGATTCATCAGTGGCCTGGTAAATTTTTAGAAACTATATAAAGGGTTTAGATATAGTTTCACGCATAGTTAGCGTTATTATTCACGTTGAAAATAAACCGGTGTATCCCTTTAATGTCGAACAAATCCGAGGAATTCAGTTATCGCCTTCTAAATGAAAACCCGACTTCTACATAGAAGAATGAAATTAAATAACTATGTAACACTAGATAAGTTGCCCGTTGATTTGACCAAACTGGTTGTAGATATGTATTAGGTGATCTTGAAGTGTGAGCATGCCATCCCTCGCTAGCGAAACAATATTGTTTATATGGAGATCAATACAAGTACAAAATAAATGTGAAAATTGAAGGAAAATCAAACTGCCTCAGATATCAATATAAAGGCGAGATCTTGGTAATAGACAAATTTTCTGATATATTATCATATTTGAAAGAAAATGTGTTGTATTCTTTAGCATCGATATTGTAAGCTCAAACGAAATGTAATTACGTCCACAATAAATATCAAAATGATAATTTCAGATTGCTCAACTTATCCTGCAGTTAAAATGCATATTTGAACAAAGACGACCAATGTGATGATACTTCAATTACGTGTAATAAAGNGGTATAACATGAAACAGAGAGTGGAAATATCAAGAACCGCTCTGTGAAGA